ATAGCTGTACATTCGTGTTCACAGCAGCATTGTTCACAATAGCTAAAAGGCAGAAATAACCCAAATGTCCAGTGACAGATGAATCGATAAACAAAATGTGGCATATCCAAGCAGTGGAATATTATTCAGCCTTTCAAAGGAATTCAATTTCTGTCATATAATACAGCACAGATAATCCCTGAAGACATTGTGCTACATGAAGTGAGCCAGACACAAAATAACAAACGCTGTTATGATTCTACTTCCCTGAAATATCCAGAGTCATCAAATTTACAGAGCTGGAGAACAGAAGGGTAATGGGTGTGGAGAGAGGATAGCGGGGAATCAGTGTCTAATGGGCATAGAGCTTCCATCTGGGAAGATGAACAAATTCTGTCCATGGATGGTGGGGTTGGGAGGCACAATGATGTGAATGTACTTAATGCCAAAGAACTACTGAACACTTAAAAAGAGTTAAAATAGGTTGGGCGTGGTGGCTCATGCCTGTAATCCCAGCACTTTGGGAGGCCAAGGCGGGCAGATCACCTGAGGTCGGGAGCTTGAGACCAGCCTGACCAACATGGAGAAACCTCATCTCTAATAAAAATACAAAAAAATCAGCTGAGCATGGTGGCGCATGCCTGTAAACCCAGCTACTTGGGAGACTGAGGCAGGAGAATCGCTTGAACCTGGGATGCAGAGGTTGCAGTGAGCCAAGATCATGCCACTGCACTCCAGCCTGGGCAATAGAACAAAATGCCTCCTAAAAAAAATTAAAAAAAAAAAAAAAGGTCAATTTTATGTTACACATATTTTACTACAATAAGAAGAAAAATTCCAAATTTTTAGATAACAGATGCTAGAGAGGATATGGAGAAATAGGAACACTTTTACACTGCTGGTGGGAGTGTAAATTAGTTCAGCCATTGTGGAAGACAGTGTGGCGATTCCTCAAGGACCTAGAAATAGAAATTCCATTTGACCCAGCAATCCCTTTACTGGGTATATATCCAAAGGATTATAAATTGTTCTATTATAAGGACACATGCACACGTATGTTCACTGCACATTGTTTACAATAGCAAAGACCTGGAACCAACCCAAATGTCCATCCATGACAGATGGGACAAGGAAAATGTAGTACATATACACCATGGAATACTATGCAGCCATAAAAAATGATGAGTTCCTGTCCTTTGTAGGGACATGGATGAATCTGGAAACCGTCATTCTCAGCAAATTGACACAAGAACAGAAAATCAAACACCACATGTTCACACTCATAGGCAGGTGTTGAACAATGAGAACACATGGACACGGGGAGGGGAGCATCACACAGTGGGGTCTGTTGCGGGGACTCGGGGAGGGACAGCGGGGGTGGGTGGGGAGGTTGGGGAGAGATACCATGGGAGAAATGGCAGATATAGGTGACGAGGGGATGGAGGCAGCAAACCACATTGCCATGTGTATACCTATGCAACAATCCTGCACGATCTGCACATGTGCCCCAGAACCTAAAGTACAATTTTAAAAAAGAAAAATTAATGATTAAAAGCCTAAAGTAATTTTACCAAAGCTGTGAAAAAGTAAATAAACGACAAGTCATTTTCATACATCCCACAAGTTCATTCAGTACCAAATGATGACGATGGGCTCAGCAGTCATTCCATTTGCAACACCAACCTGATTTCTGCCAGACTAGAAATTAGGATGTGGGGCCTCAGTGGAAACTCCCAGCATCACAGAGAGACCTTTCAGAGCCATGCTGCAGAGCCAGCCTCTGCCCCGGGGAAGCAGCCCATGTGTGAGGAAGAAGTGTCTTATTTCTTCACCTGGGCATGTTTGCAGATGCAAGGCGGGACAAGTCTTTCCCATGTTTCTGAGATTTCAGGTTAAGTCTTACAGTTTAACCCAAGTCATTTTTGACTTCATAAAGAGACAATGCTTCTAAGATAATCAAGCTGGCAAATTAATACCTTTGGGAGATGTTTACATATAGGTAAGCAAATTTGCCAAGTTAGATCAGATTTCCCAAAGGCTACTTTCCAAAGCATTAGTGGAAAAGAGGAAGAAAAACAGGTGAACAGTATCTCACTTGTACAAAGAGCTGTATTTTACTGAATGACTACTTCAAACTGGACTTTGGTGTAGGGTGCTTTTAAAGTTTGCAAGTGGAGTGTTAGTGAAATTTTTATAAATTTATTAGAAGTATGATCTTGAAAGACAAAAATCTAGCTAATTTATAGAAAAACCTAAGTATTTTTCTTTTAAATGGTAAAAGAGAGTACAAGAGAATAGCAAAGATAATGATGATGATGATGGTGGTGGTGGTGATGGTGATGGCGGTGGTGACGCTGGTAACGACGGTGATGACCCCTTCACTAGTGTGTACAAGCCTTGTTGTCATTTTCACGTCAAACACAAGGAATCCGGGCATACCTGTTATACTCCACCATAGATAACAAGACATGAGGCCTCCAGGACTCACAGAATTCCAAGACTGATGCCCCCATGTCAAAGGAAGATCGGGGGAGGACACCTGATGGAGCTCTGGACAAGTGACAACGAGGTAAAAGAAGAACACTTCAAATTTAAATGGCTTAGTTTTATCTTTAAATAGGTATTAAAAATAAAAGGCCCAGGACAAGGAGATATCCAGGACAGATTTAATGACAAGTTCTTTAGCTCCTGATGCTAGCATCTCTATGGCAACTTCTTTGTAAAGCAGCCAAAAATCCTACTCCTTCTGTAACAGTTAAGACCAGGGAAAACTACAGTATGATTTATGGCATATCTCAATATAAAATGTACAAATAAAATAAGAACATATCAAATCAGGTCTTATTATTACTGCCCTGATGAGAAAGAAAATACAGTCAGCCCTCCATATGCAGGGGTTCTGCATCCTGGATTCAACCAACCTGGGGTTGAAAATATTCGAGGGAAACAACATAGGTGATTGTGTCTGTACTGAACATGCACAGAATTTTTTTCTCGTCACTATTCCCTAAACATTTATTTATAATACCTAATACAATGTATATTTACATTATACAATGTACAATTATATAATGTATAATTTACAATATATAATGTATATTTACATTGTATTAGGTATTATAAGTAAACCAGAGATGATTTAAAGTACATGGGAGTGCATCCGTTATAAAAACAACAAAATCATGTCCTTTGCAGCCACATGGATGCAGCTGGAAACCATTATCTTAAGCAAATTAATGCCAGAACCAAAAACCAAATGCCAGATGTTCTCACTTACCAGTGGGAGGTAATCATTGGGTACAGACAGACATAAAGATGAGAACAGACACAGAAGACTACTAGAGTGGGGAGAGAGGGAATGGGGCAAGGCTGAAAAACTACCTATGGGGTACTACACTCACAGCCTGGGGGACACGATCATTCACACCCCAAACCTCGGCATCACACCACACACCCACGGAACAAACTTGCACATATGCCTCTGATTCTAAAATAAAAGTTGAAATTATTTTAAATAAATAAATAAATACAGGTATTGATCAACTTACGACCTATGCAACTTACAACTATTCGACTTTACGACCACAATCGCTAGCCATGACTGCTCTGCGTCTGGCAGCGCAAACGTTGCCCAGCTGAGCATACGACAGTGCAGACCAGCTTCCGGCAGCACTACCATCTCCGCGTGCATATAGCCTACTCAACTTACGACCAAATCGTGTTACAACCGGTCTGTCGGAACCAATCGTGGTCGTAAGTCGAGCACTAGCTGTTAAGTAAATAAAATGCCATATATGGAAGGATGTGAATAGGTTATATGCAAATACCATGTCACTTTATATGAGGGACTTAAGCAGCCTCCCATTTCTTGTATCCTCAAGAGGTCCTGTAACTGATCCCCCAAGAATACCAAGGGACAACTGTTTAATGTAAAAACTTACTTTGAGTCTGGGTGCGATCGCTCACACCTGTAATCCCAACACTTTGGGAGGCCAAGGTGGGCAGATCACTTGAGGTCAGGAGTTCGAGACCACCCTGGCCAACAAGGTGAAAACCCGTCTCTACTAAAAATACAAAAATCAGCCAGGTGTGGTGGTGCATGCCTCTAGTCCCAGCTACTTGGGAGGCTGAGGCAGGAGAACTGCTTGAACCGGGAGGTGGAGGTTGCATTGACCCGAGATCACACCACTGCACTCCAGCCTGGGTGACAGAGTGAGACTCTGTCTCAAAAAAAAAAAAAAAGAAAAAAAGAAAAACTTACTTTGAATGAAAACCAACATAAAATAGAAACACTATAAGTCCTCTCCAAAATTGTGAAATACAATAAAAAATTCAAGGTGCTATCCCAAACACCCAACTATTTTTTTACAAACCATTGAAAACAACCACAACTAGATTTAGAATATAAAGAAAGCCTGTATTTGATGTGGATTCCATTTACATTTTTCTTCAGTTAAGAAAATTATACTGAATATGACCAAATGGTTCCTTTTAAAAATATAAGAATTCACTTTCTCAAATATATTCTTTTCTTGTAGATTTAATTTCATAGATCCAATTTCACTGAAGTTGACTTCTGAGTACAACTGTGATGTAAGTGAAGGTTTTAATGAACAGCAACAAAAATTTCCATGAATCCAACTGTGAGATTGAGGTAAAGAAACACTGAAAACCAATTTGATATTTTTAATTAGACTTCATTTAGTGTTCTGCAACAGCCTGTTATCAAAGGCAGCCGTGCCCTGACAGCAGTGGAAAACTTTCATTATACACCGGAAACATTTTGCATAAAGAAAAAGAACACTGGCCTGATGCAAATAGCAAACTTCTCTAGTAAGGTGTAAATGATTCTATTTACAGAAGTTTTCCCCTTTTTTTCTTTTTTTAGAGACAAGGTCTTGCTCTGTCACCCAGGCTGGAGTGCAGTGGCTATTTGTGCAATATTTAATTCATATAAAACTTTCCCAGAATGCATCTGATGCTTCAGGTGAGGTACACGTTTAATGCTAAATGTCACTTACCTTCCGATAAATCATATGGCACATGGCTACTCGTAACCTCATCCCAGCACACTGAACATGATAAAAATATAAGTGGTGCAGTATAGCCAAAATAAGCGTGCAAAAAGTCAGCACCGCAGCATAGGCGTACGCTTTGTGCAAAGCCACAGAGTCCGTGGGATCATACTTTTCAAAATAATTAATAATTTTTCCCAAAAATATGGGCTGGATTACTTTGGTACTTTCCTAAAAGAAGAAAAAGAAAAGCCTTTAATTAGACATATAGACCATACCATTTTTTCTTTTTTCTTTTTCTTTTTTCAGACGGGGCTTTGCTCTGTCACCCATGCTGGAGTGCAGTGGCACCATCCCAGCTCACAGCAGCCTCGAACTCCCTGACTCAAGCACCCCTCACACCTCAGCCTTCCACGTAGCTGAGACTACAAGTGTACACTACCATGTCCAGCTAATTTTTTGTTTAAGAGACAGGATCTCACTATGTTGCCCAGGCTGGTCTTGAACTCCTAGGCTCAAGTGATGCTCCTACCTCAGCCTCCCAAAGTGCTGGGATTACAGATGTGAGTCACCACACCCAAGCTCATTTTTTCTTATCACAAGCTTTACTTTTATATTTTCAAAATTCAACATTCATCATTAATCTAAAAGAAAAGCAGAACTGCTTTCTTCTTTAAGACAAGGTGATAGAAGTTTTAACCTGAAGCCAAAATTCTAATTTCAAAGTCAATAATGTTTTAGTACATTGTTCTTGGTACACTGTGGGTGCTCAGTATGACAAACAGTGCTTTAAAGCATACTTGGCAAACTACCAAATTAAGTCTTGGCCCACGGTGAATAAGGGAAAAAGCGGCCCAAGAGGAAAAAGGAACTTGCTTACATAGGGGCACCCCAGCTCTCACCCACTTCTGCTGTACTCTTGACATCACGGCACACTGGAAAGTTGAGAAGGCTCGTGTACAGGAGGCCACCACTCTTGCCACCTTCTTCACCATTAAGAGCCTTTATGAACTGAGATATTGGCACAAACCCAGATCAGAAAATCAAACTCTCCAATTCTTCCCAATCTGAACTCTACGTGTCAGTAGATCTAAGACAACCAAGTCCAGCTTCAGTTGGAGTAGAGAAAAGAACCAGGCTTGGGAGGATTCCAGGCTCTTGGTCCCACGGGACATTGCTTCAATGTTTCTGCCCCCTACAAGCTCAGATGTGCCCAGAACTGCCATCTTAGCTCAGGTAGTGCAGAGTCAAAAATTAAACACTGCAGAAATTAAGCTCAAAGGTAATATCATCAGTGGGTCTCTATATCAGCCATACTTTGAAGATCCTGGTTTTGAAGCAATATTAATAATCAGCTATTCCCTGAGGCAAAATTAAAATCCCACACAAATGAGCTGGGAGGCATGGGAGGCATGGGGGCTTACCTTCTGCACAAGACAGAGGGAATGAAATTTTAATCCCCAAGACTAAAGGCAACGAAACAGCAGAATGCAGCTTGAGCCACGGTTTGAAGTAAGCAAAGAGCTTTCCTTTCCTCTCCCTGCCACATGACCACTTCATCCCATAACCTACTTCCTCCCTCTAGAACCCCTTGTAAGGGACCCTTACCCTTCATCAAAGAAAATCAAACACTCATTGCAAATCCAAGTCACCAAAAGTAAACATGTAGGCCTTTGACATCATTTCCCCTTGACTTCTCCAAAGACAAAATGCAAAAAGTTTGAAAATCTTTCAAGATTTTGACTTTGAAACAAAACTTTTCCTTTTAAGCAATCTCTCCTTCTTAACAAAGTCACAATAAACACCTGACAGGTTTGCTATTGATAGCTGTTTTTTATCTGAAGTGAGGTAAGAAGAATCAATAAAAAACAAAAACAGGCAGAGCATGGTGGCTCATACCTGTGATCCCAGCAGTTTGGGAGGCCGAGATGGACACATCACCTGAGGTCAGAAGTTTGAGACCAGCCTGGCCAAAATGGAGAAACCCCATCTCTACCAAAAATACAAATTTAGCCGGGCATAGTGGCACGTGCCTGCAATCCCAGCTACTCAGGAAGCTAAAGCAGGAGAATTGCTTGAACCCGGGAGACGGAGGTTGCAGTGAACCAAGATCCCACCATTGCACTCCAGCCTGGGCAACAAGAGCGAAACTCCATCTCAAAAAAAAAAAAAAAAAAATTAACACACACTTTCAGCCCAAACCACTAGCACTAGATCAGGATATTTACAGAAGACATTCATACACACACACACACACACACACACACACACACACAGACTTCACCAACCGCATTGCCTTCCATGAGGTCATGGAAGTTTTCCCCTATGATACAGAAATCAGAAAATACCGTTTAGTTGAAGAATTAAGAATAAGATGATCAGATATCAAGAACACAGAGGTTCACGGTGTGCCCAATCAGAGGCACTAGGAGTTTATGGAAGAGCCTCTGGTACAATGGGTCATAACATGGACTGTTTAGAGTTTACTGAGATGAAAATCTGGAAGTTTACCCAGAGAAGCAAGAAGGCCAAACTATTCACGTGGGCAGCCCCGGGTCAGGAGTGCCAAGGGCAACCAGGGCCGCCGCAGACACACCTGGGCTATCAGCCAGAAGCTCAGTGCTAACGCTTGCCTTGCGAAATGTTCCTGAAACTTCTCACGGTCCCTGGGAGTCACTGTTGCCGGTTACACACTTTTCCATTTCAGCCTGAGGTGAGCGTGATCCAAATGGCAAGAGGGATGCTCCCCCACCAGAGGAAATAACAGATGCAATAAACCCAGCAAAAGAGAATGCAAAAGGAAGGCAAGACACAACCACCTACATAATTGTCCAGGTTTCCTTGCTGAGAGACAGCATTTAATAATCCAGGCAAGCAGGCAGCTCACTGGTGAGTAATGCTGGTTTTTGGTCCCTGCCTTCCCTTAGACCTCTCCATCCCATATCTTAGCCCTCAACTAGTAAGAAACAAATCAATGCGGAGAATGCTCATTACCAAAATTATAACTAACCAAGTTTAAACTTTCTGGATATCAGTAACAAGGTCAAAAGTAACTCACATAGATTCTCCATCTTGGAGACCAACCAATCCATGACCTGGTGAAGAGTCTTTCCACAAACAAGCTAACAATACAGTCCTTACTCCTTCACAAGCATTCTCAACTCTGAAACCACAGAGATTTTTAAGAGTCCAATAGGATACTTCAATGCTCCATACTTCAGGTTCTACCAGAGTCCCAGAGTACTTGAAGGCAGATACTTCTCAATGGAGTATTTGGTACTCAGCCTCCTGATACCTGAGCCCCATCCCATGCTTTCTTGGAGTAACACATTACATGTCTAGGCACAGTGGGGATGGGGCCTCCATGCTCCTGCTCCCCCATGCACTTCAGATACCCCTTACCCAACTGCACCACACCTGATGCATGAGAAGGAAAGAAAACACAGGAAATAGAAATGAGCTACCGAAGAACACGTTTGAGTGAAAAATACAAGCAGGCCAGACGCGAAAGCTCACACCTGTCATCCCAGCACTTTGGGAGGCCAAGGCAGGTGGATCACGAGGTCAAGAGATCGAGACCATCCTGGTTAACACAGTAAAACCCTGTCTCTACTAAAAACACAAAAAAATTAGCTGGACGTGGTGGCATGTGCCTGTAGTCCCAGCTACTCAGGAGGCTGAGGCAAGAGAATCGCCTGAACCAGGGAGGCAGAGGTTGCAGTAAGTTGAGATTGCACCACTGCACTCCAGCCTAGAGACAAAGCAAGACTCCATCTCAAAAAAAAAAAGAAAAGAAAAAAGAAAAATACAAGCAGAAAAGAGTGAGCTGTGGAAAAATGAGTAACAGTTTGTTTTAGAAATGGGAAAACACAGCAGGTCACAGTGGCTCCCGCCTATAATCCCAGCACTTTGGGAGGCCAAGGCAAGTGGATCACTTGAGGTCAGGAGTTCAAGATCAGCCTGGCCAATATGGTGAAACTCCATCTCTACTAAAAATACAAAAATTATCTGGACGTGGTGGCTCACACCTGTAATCCCAGCTACTGGGGAGGCTGAGGCACAAGAATTGCTTGAAGCCGGAAGGTGGAGGTTGCAGTGAGCTGAGATTGTGCCACTGCACTCCAGGCGGGGGGACAGAGCAAGACTCTGTCTCAGAAAAAAAAAAAAAAGAAATGGGGGAGCAGGGGACAAAAGTAGGGTTGAGAAAGATCCAGAGATAAGGAAGAAAAAGAGTGAACGGGGAAATAATAACCATTAAGACTCTGGATATACCTGAAGTTCTCCCTGAATCAGTACAGTCTTGACTGCAAATTAAAATCACCTGGGAGACTTACATGCTCACTGATGCTCAGGACCCATCCCCCAGATTTAGGTTCCATGATCAGGGTGGGGCCTCAGTTCCCCATCCCTGGAAGATTCTGGAGTGTAGAAACCAACACCTATACACATCAGTATCCTCCTCTCCCGCACTATCTCTGTGTCTGAGTCTAGAGGGGCTGGAGACCCGCTGTGAAGAACTTTTAAGACCACAAAGGGCTTTTCATCAGAGCTGCTGCCGTATGTCAGGCTTCTAAGAAAATCCCTTCGGAAAAACGGATGCTGAGATTTCAGTGATAGAACTAAAACCTTCCATTCTGCACAGCAGGGAAAATTCAATGTTCAGTAAAGACTGTACCTACCAAACAAAAGGATGAATCATAATTTGTTTTTTTAACTTTAAACAAAATAGTTTATTTAGCTAGTTTGTTTGACTTTAAACGAAATAGTTTGAAAAGATAGTCCCTGCACGTTATTGTCTACCCTAAGGACAATGTAAACTGCAAAGAAAAAAACTTTAAATTATTTTCAGAAATCACATTACGGGTAATAGTGCTGATACTGTAAGATAAAATAAAGGAATAAGTATGTTGATATCAAGAGCTGGATTAGGCTAGGGAGAAAAAAGAACAGATGAAGGGAGAAAAGAGATACAGATGTAAGAGTATAGAGATAAGTAAAAACACTAATGTCTTGAATCTGATTTGGAAATACCCACATAAATTCATGATATGTTTATCTTTAAATATAAACATACACATATAAAAGGAGTTAAAGCTGCTAGGAAAAATGGTTGATTCCACAGCTGTGGCAAAAACTGTTCAAGGAGCCTGAAATATCTTGTCACACCAGAAAATGAGGAAACTAGCATGATATATACATGCAAAAGACTCAGGACCTGACTTCAATAGACC